CACACACGCATGGGCGAAGGCGGTGCAGCCCTAGTCCTCGAGGACTAGGGCGAGGCTGAGGCGGCGCGCGGGTTTGAGGTGGCTAGGGCAAGAGGCGGCCGACTTGGAGTGCAAGCAAAGGAAGAGATTTGAAGATCAAGTTAATAAGGACTCTAGTATATTTACTTTCCATGTTGCTTTTATTTATTAGTAGTAGAAGATATTAGGAGATTTACTAGCATTAGGATTTATTTTATTGCATGAATTAGGAGATCTAGTTAGATTAGAATTAGATTTACTTTGCACCTATAAATACCCCATGTACTCTTCATAATTAGATGTCCAAGAAAGATGAAATAGAAAAGAACATTTGTTCGAAACCGTGTGTTGAGAGTCGTGAGATTCGATCATACAAATCGAATTGGTGAGGCTAAGACCTGAGCCAGTTCAACGATTTAGAGAGGCTAAGACCCGATCTATTTCGAGAGTGTAGCGAGGCTAATACCCGAGTGAACTCAAGTATCGTGAGAGAGTTGGGCTAATAACCGAGTCGATCACACCTATCGTCGAGAGCAAGGCCGTGGCGAAGCCGTGATCGAGACAAGTAAAGGGAACGCAACACCCGATCCTTCATCACGTGCGCCCCACGCTCGTCGTCCAGCATTCCTATGCCTACGCGGTCTAGGCCATCACTCGTGTTGCCCCACGCGTCGCTGCCCATCGTCCGCACGTCTCTGCCACCTCCGTGCATGCTGCGCACGCCCAGCGTCCCGCGCACCGCGCCTCGCTCGTCCATCGCGCGCCTATTCACGCCCAGCACCGCTGATACGGAAGTGGTCATCAACCCCGGTGAGTCAGACGGTGAAGGTGACGATGGTCTCGTTTTATGGTTGGAGAACATGTTGGAAGAGCCATCAAGTCCAATTGATCGACCATCATTCATGAGGGACTGGCCAAAGGGATGTGGTCCACGAGCTAAGCTCAAGCCTAGGAGGAGCAAGACCAAACGAGCTCGAAGGATACACAAGGCGAAAACAAAAGAGGAGAAGTGTTGGTGCAAGCCTTGTGCGAGGAAAAGGCGAGTTCGCAAGATGGTGGTTCGAAAGGGGGGCAAGAGTCGTATGAAAGAGGGTTGGATTTGGCGAGCTGGTGATTATATCGGGTTGGACGGATGGGACCCGTGGCCATCGGGCGAGCCAGCAGAGTCGGACGGCAAAGGGGTCGAGGAGGATCGGCTATCGGGTGTGGGGCGTGCATCGGGCCGTGATGCGCGCGATAGGGGAACGAACACGACGGCGGGTGCACGCGGGTGTGCGATCGGATGTGGCGAGAAAGACGGCGAGACCAGCAGGGGCGCGAAGCGCGCAAAGGCACGCGAGTGCGCGACAGGCGTGCGAGGCCTAACCCGTGTAGGCGTAGGAGAAGCGGACAGCGCGAGCAGCACTGGCAGGAGAGGCATGCGCGGGACTCGCGCAGGTGGCGAGGATGCGCGGCGGCTGGGCGGCAGTGGCGATGAGCGCGCGACAGCACGCGAGTACGGAACAAGCGCGGGCGACCAAATCCTAACGGGCGTAGGAGTGCTGGGCGCGGAAGTGCACGCGCAGGCGGGA